GGAAAGAAGGCAATGCAAGACACACTGGAAGCCTGTGATTACCAAAGAAAAGTCAATTAATAATACTGTGATCTCTGCAAATCTCCCCTCACTAGAGAGTTAAAGCCAAACCCACAGATTCTCAGATGGTGGAAATTAAGTCTGTTGAAGTCAGGGGATTTGCACTGGTTTAAACTTGAGGAGAATCTGTCCAGCCAGGTTTTTTAAAGACACTCAGGGCAATAACCAAAGTAGTCAGCACAAAAATCTCTATATATCAAAACCAATCACCATCCAAAGGTATTTTAGTCACAGTAGTTTTTAGTTGCAGCATAAAACCTCATTTTGTGTGACAGACCTTGCTAAATACTGTTTTAATTATAATAACTCAGCATATTTCCATATCTAGAAACATCCTGCACTGAAAATCCTGGCAGCTGGCTGGGAAGGAATAGGTGAAACCTGCTAAGATGATGAAGATGTTGTGGCATAGGATACAAAAGCAAAAAGCAATGCATAGTCCAGATTTATCTTTACTGAAGTGACTTATCTGTGGGATATACTGGAATGAGTTTGCCCCCCAAAGAATTAAAAAAAAAAAATCCAGATGAGAATTTCTGCTTTGAAATGCGTCATATAAATATCACTTCTCTGCATGGAGAGAAATTCTGATATTTCAAGGCTTCTCTCTCACCCTCTTCTGAGTTGTCACCCCAAACTGTTCGTAGTGTTCCTAAAGCATGGGTTAAGTAGAGGAGAAAGAGCCTCAGCTATGGAGAGCTGGGGAGGAGGGAGGGCAGCCACTGGAAACAGTGTTTATTGACGAGGAGTGAAAGCATGCATGCAGCAGGATAATGAGCTTTTGAGCTCAACTGTGACCAAGAGGAACTGAGCTATCGCCTTCCCGGATCACTAATGAAACAAGTGTAATTTCCTCATCAGCATTGGATTCTGTTTAACGACTCCCTGCCGTTGCCATCCCCAGCCCTCTGCAGGCTCTACACTGCTCTGTGTAAACTGCAGTTCCCTTCAGCGGGTGCTCACTTCACCAAAACAGTTTGCAGAAACTTGACACCCTTTCTGGGAAAGAGGAAGAATTGAGGCAGGGATCAAGATGCCCTGTTACCTGTGCAGGACACATCTCTCGGACACATAGGTTAAGTGTAGCACAATACCTGATTCATCCTTCTTTGAGTGACTAACCCCTGCGTTTTCAAGTGTGTACTCGAGGACTACTGGCTTTCGTCCACGTCTTACAGCCTGGGACCTGAAGTTACAGGCAAGGGCAAATGCAGGATGTGTCTCTTACCCCATCATCTGCATAAACCTCAGCGATATTTTCATGCATGACTGACCATGTTGCAGGCATGTACTGCTACTGGAGACAAGCTCTTCTCTAGACTATACAAGTAGAAGTCTAGTGAAAGGTTGTCACGGATAGAACGGAGCAGCTTTGGTTAGCACTGGTCCAGCAATCTTCTCACAAACAGTTTTCCACTGGAAAACGCTGTCTCATCGAAATGGAAATATTCTGCACAAGCTTGTCAGCTTCAATGGAGTTTTGGAAAGAAAAGTTCTGAAATGATTGCAAATTGAAACAAAGCATTATGTTTCAACTTTCTTGTTTTGTTTCATTTTGCCTTTCTCATCTCATTTAATTTCCTTTCAATTCTTTTATTATTTTAATATGTCTTGACATCTAGAACATGTTGACGTTATTGAAATGTTTCATCCTGATGTTTGCAAATTGAACTATTTCAAGATTCTGACTCCTCATACCCATGCAAGATGAAAACAAATGTCAAAAAATCAGACTTTCGCATGGGTTGGAAATTCTGGGTTTTGACCAGTTCTGTTTTTATCTCTGCGCCTTTATTTAGAGAAGACAGACCCTCTTTCTCATATTCACTCACATCTGGACAGTAAGGTTTGTTTGCGCGTCAGTACGTTTCTTAAAGATACTCCCTGAGTGGTCATCTTGCTGGCTTCTTGTTTCCAATGTAGTTGCACTGGCCCCTGATCTTTCTCGGCCTGGGGGCATGTGACAAACCATTGCCAACATCATATTTGTTTTCTCTCTTCAACCTGGACTCTTAACAGAGGTTGCAAGCAAGCACAGAGGATTGATCTCATGAGGCCTATATTCTGTGCAATCTGTGCTCTGGGAAACTTTACTAACAGTATTTCTTGGTATCTGTATTTAAATCTTGGCACATTTAGTCTTCTAATACCAAAACCACGAGGCATGAAGTGAGCCTAGCAGGTGGCAGGTTCAGAACAAACAGAGGAGGTAGTTTTCACACAATGTGTAGTTAAACTACAGAACTTCTTACCATAGGTTGCTACAGATGTTAAAGGTTTATATGGGTTCAAGAGACACTGTTTAAGTTTGTGTA